TTTTTTTTTTTTTTTCAATAAACAATATTATAATAATAGCTAACTTTGCTTGCCAGGAGCCAGTCTCTCCCTCTGTCTGTCAAAACTGCCACACATGGGTGTGCAGGTGTTTTAATCATAGGAAGGCCCAACCCCCAACACAAGTTCACTCCTCTTTTCTCCTGTGCTTCTTTTTTGACATGACAAGCGTTAAATATGCTAACGCTGTTGCTACCGATAGAAGGGCCACCTGCAGTAGGTTAACGAAGTGTCCGATGTTCTCCTGGTATCAATGGGCCCAGAAGAGCCGCTTTAAGGTCCAGTTTATTTTAACTCATTCAGCACAGGATCAGAAAACCAGATGTTTTCATTCTGCAGGTCAGACCCTTTGGCAGCGCTTCTTGTGGCACCGCAGGTGGCTTGGTTGTCTGAAGGTTTTCCCACACAGTTTGCAGGAATACGGCTTCTCCCCCGTGTGCGTCTTCATGTGGAAGCTCAGCCCTGTCCCTCGACTGAAGGTTTTGTGACACACTTTGCAGGTAAACGGCTTCTCTCCTGTGTGAATCCTCATGTGGATGTTCATACAGCTCCTCCTGATGAAGCCCTTCCCACACACGCTGCAGGGGTAGGGCTTTTCCCCTGTGTGAGTTCTGACGTGACAGGTCAAGGTGTTGCTCTGTCTAAAGCGCTTGTGACAGATGTGGCAGGAGAAAGGCTTCTCCCCCGTGTGCCGCCTCAGGTGGCGCACCAGGTGACTGTTCAAGCCGAACTTTTCCCCGCAGATCTTACAGGAGAAGGGCTTCTCACCGGTGTGCGTAATCATATGGCGGAAGGCACTGTCCTGCCGGGCGAAGCGCCGCGTACACAGCTCACAGGAGTAAGGCTTCTCGTTCTGGTGCGTGTCTCGGTGGTCTTGCAGCAGCAACATGTTGGAGAACTTTTTGCCACAGGTCTTACAAACAAAGGGTTTGGGTTCATTTGAGTCTTCCGACTGCTGGGAACTGCTTGGTTCTGATTTACTCTGCTCCTCTTCATCATAGTTAACGGTCACCATGAAAAAGTCTGTCTCTGGTCTCTGTCCAGCGAGACTGGAGCCCACTTCTTCCTGCTCCTCTTTAATCTGCAGAAACCCTGGTTTCTTTGAATCCACACTGAGGAACCTTTCTGGCTCAGTTGGAACGTCTTCCTGATAAACACGGTTCTGTTCTGTTAAGAAAAAAAACAATCAGAAAAAAGTAAGTTAGTCCACGGAGCTAAACCATAAAAAAATTGACAGTGGAGTCCCAGTTGGTTCTGCACTAACGGGTCGACTAGGAGGAGCTCCGGTCTGGTCACTCTCAATATTTCTGCATCTGTTTTTGTGCAGTGGCTATTAATTTATATGAACAGAACTGTTAGAAATATTTTATTTATACTCGGTTTGTGTTTCATGGGTTGTGTATTAATGA